TGATCTGACTTTTTCTATAAATGAATACTTGCCAATCTGAAAAATGCTATGATTTGCCAGGTGTTTTTCAGCTATTAGTGAGAATTAGCAAGGTTTGTTTGTACTCTAAATCCATTAAAGGCCAAAGTCTTACCTCATCGAGGCTAGGGATAATATTTACACTGACAACCTGATCACAAATAACAGATTCTGAATGTATTCTGTTCAAGCGACTCCTTAGTTCAGCATTCTGGTTGAGAGCCTTAAAATAAAAATTGCACATTTCATTTAAAATTAAAAGTAAGCGTTAAACAGAAAAAAAAAAGAAGTAGCTTCTTCCCAGCAATTTCCTAAGAAATCACAGAACTTCTTTTCTTCATTGTTAGAGAGATAACTATCTTAAGATCCTCTCTAACATGACTTAATCTTTTGGTTGGTTTGTCTTCAGTGATTTTCAGGAGGCAGTGGGGACCAACTCACACAGTGGGAGTGGTATTCTACTTTAATTCTTCAGAATTAGTTCTTTGGCAGGTATACTGGTAGGTTAGGTACATTATGGAAATGGGCAGTGAATGCAGCAAGAAAGAATGAAACTGCAGAACAAACGGGAACTACCTGCAAAATGCCCAAAGAGGCAATTCTTGGTTTACAGCTATACAGCCCTTTCTGAACCAAGGTTATCAGACCTTACAGCTTGCAAAAGGAAATTGCTTCCTTTCCAGCAAAAACAGTATAATTGCTAGCATGGGTTGTTTGCCCATCCAAATCAATTTGATATATTTGATAATGTGTATTCATTTCAAAGTACGGATCCATTAGAGTGTTACAAATACCAATAGAATTCTACTGGTGTCTGGTATCCGCTGATTTTTCTCCTTTTTTTAGAGCCCAACTTAGATTATAAATTTGGGTGCATTATAAATTTGGGTGCATATATACATATTGTCTCTTATCTAGAAAGACTCACATCCAAGATTCTGAAATCCAGAAAAACTGTAATATGTTGCATACCGAGAACATGAACTGACTTAACTCTGATATATCCCCAGCACTAGGGATGATAGAAAAGAACAACAGACAGACACAGTGTTTCAGTAGAAAATTACTGTTTTAATGGAGAAAGAATCTTCTGCCTCCCCCTAGTGCAGGCTCAGGAATAGATTGCATGAATGTACTGAAACAAAGTAGGACCAAAGTAAAATAAGTTAGCTTAAACTGTCACTAAACAGTTTAAATTACCCCATTTTGCTTTGTTCTGAAACATACTTTGGTCTGGCCAAGTTCACAGTTGCCGTCCACCAGGAAGGGAAAGTGACGACTAACAGTAGCCTGGCAGTAGCTTCTTAAACTGCTCAAACATGGCCATGAGACTAAGTCAAACCCAGCCACCTGACTAAGGTCAAATTTCCACTTGTTCCCCATTGACACTATGAACTAATGCATGACAGTGACTTTTAGACTGACACTGGAGGCCAGGAACAAGAAGAAAACATGCTCACCTATTTCATGCAAGTTGTGAATAAGCCTCTACCAGTCCTAGTTAAATTTGTATCAATAACCAGAAATGGTTATCCTTACCTCTTGTCCTTAACCTTTCTTTATTACAAAACACAGCAATCAATCTGCATAATATTATATGCATCTGTACCTATAGAAACATTGTGCATCAGTTTTAATCTCATAGCAAAAGCTCCAACCTAATCACAATGTATGAAATTATATACACATTCGGGTAAAGTTCTCTTTGCCTTTAAAAGTCTGCTCACATTTCTTGGAGATGCAGTACTCCGTGCCAATCCATTCTTCAGAGTAAAAGCTTTTATGTTTCCTTGACAAGGAATTTAAAAGACTGAGTTATTTTGTAAACTGTGGACTTTACTGTTGCTTTACCTCTTTTTCCTCACTAAATCAAATGACAGTTTTTCCTTTGGCTTATGTGGGAGAGACACTGGACAGTAACAGGTGTGTATTTGAAAATCCAATTTACCCATGTTTATCCTGTAACCCACGAATCCTTTTGCAGTTAGAGACATGGACTTATAAAACAAATCTGAAAATATACAGTAAAAATTTAAAACGTAATTAAGAAAACAAGAATATCTCCTTAGCTCTGCTGGAAACAGCTCCAGGAGAGATATCTGGTATCAAAAACATTTAATTGTTTTTCTTTACTATGGAAAATCATAAGTTACATGCTTACACAAACAAACTGTATTCTTCACCTCCACATGCATTGAGGTTAGACCTATGTCATAGCAGAACGTATGTCATAGTTCTGGTCAAGAACTTGGCTTTTTTTCGACTCCTTCTACCTCAGAAAATGGCCAAAATACAAAAGAAATAGTGCATCTGTTAAGCCAGATGTGCCTGAAATCAAATCAAGAACATACCTGAGAGAGGGACTGTCTGAGGTGTGCTATTTGAGCATTGTGCCCTGCAAGATCCTGCTCTGAAACAATCTGCTTAAGCTTCTCCTTCTCTATTGCTATGCTGTTAAAGGCAGACTTCAAAAGAGAATGCACTAAGCAAAAAGAAAAAAAGAAAGTAAGTGTTTTCTCAGCTACAGAACTGCACATTGACAGACATTACAATATCGCAGACAGAGAGTGAGACTGTCATCCCACAATTATGGAAATTCGAAACAAGGATCTGAATTTCAAGTAATCCATGCCAAATTAAGTACAAACACTTGTGGCCTGAGGTTGTAATGTGCATACTGTATGTTCACATATGTCATCTGAGCATATTCTTGGTGCTGAACACATCAAAAGGTACATATCTGGAAAACCCGTGTCCAGTGTGTCTTCTTTTCTTTCTGTGTTTTTTTTTTTAATTTTCCTTTTCAGAGTAACAAAAAAAATCAATCCTGCTAAGGTTTAATATTGCACTAATAAAGAGGATTACTTGGTCTTTAAACAGGTTTTTGACATTTTTTAATATATCAACTTCATGTTTTTCCTATGTTTCTTACATAACAGATAGCAAAGTGATAATAAACCCTTTTAAAAAAAGTAATTTTTCAGTCTGTAGGACCATTCCTTTATTTGCAATAAAATGGCATTTCTAAACTACATTCTAGTAATAAGCTCTTCTTCTGTTATTTCCACTGACATAGAAAACATTTCACAAAAATAAATTGCACAACATTATATATGTAGCAGTGACATTCCAATTCATCTTTGGGGAGAAATGAAGCATTTTATTGAGAAACAAAATGTATGCAAATTCAGTCACGTATTTACAAGATGCAGAAAGTAGTTTAGAAGACTTGTAAAAAAATTTCTTATCAGACAGAGTTTACCTTTCTCTATATTCATGACATCCATGAAAAATTTAGGAAGGATAAAACATGTCATCTTTATGTAAGCCACCTGACCAATTAAAACTTCTTATATGATATCATCAAATGTAGATGAATGCCCTGCCCATAAATAAGTGAAGGCAAAAAGAAACACAACAGAGAAGCACAGTGAAGGAAAGGCTTGATATTTTTAGTTACCTTTTTGTGCCATCAGGCAGAATTCTTCTTGAAGCTTCATGTATTCAGTAGAGCACTCCAAAGGGTCCGTTACATGGCTTGGAGGAGTCTGAAACTCAATGTCTGCACAAAGGTTGGGATTGGACGAATGCAGGCGAACGGGTGACATTGTAGCACTGAAAGGGACCTACAGCAAGAAACAGTGAAGAAATATTGTATAAGGTGCAACCAACCTTTTGACTCCATTGAAGCAAAATACAAATTTCTTCTGAAAACAAAAGACTTTGTTCATAATGTGAAGAACATGGTAAGAGTGAACGTGTAACTTTTTACTTTCCTAAATCTCAACACAGCTGATGCAGAAATCTCTTGAAAATTTTCAGAGACAAAAAAAGGCCTAAATACACAGCTAACAGCTAACGATGGAGCATTTCAGTGTTAGCATTTACAAAACCAGACCATTTCCTAATGCTTATAAGATGACTGGAAAATTGAACCATGACGCTTGCTGCTTTAGAATTGGACATTTGAGAGTACGTGTAGTATTACTCTGTTGATACAATACCAACATTTGAAATATGCAAGTTCCTCCACAGATCTAGAAATAGGATATAATATTATTAAATATCATTGAAGTTTTTCAAAACTGCTGGTAAATCTTGAGTTGAAACTCACTGTACTGACAACTACGAAGAAGGAAAAAGCATATAATCTTTCTATATTCTTTCTAATTAAATGATTAACAACAACAAAAAAATCAAAACTCCACCTAATTTTCATCTAAAGTACAAGAACCATAAATAAATGTAAAGAGATACAGTTTACTAAGATGCAGCAAAGTATTTTGTTCATTATAAGTTCCATTTCTCTTTCTTCTATATTTTTCAGGTACAGTAATAAAAATATACATGCAAATCTTTACGAGTTACATGCACATGTATCGTGTACTGAACAGTTACCTATATGCTACAAATGCAGTGTACGGCTACCACTGTTATATATGTGATGTGTATGTGAGTGTATGTTGGACTTTAATTTTACCATCTACACACACATGTATAAAAATCAGGCCAATAACCCAATTTTGAGTTTTAAATGCAAAGGAAAGGCATGCAGAACTACACTTTGATACTCAAATATTAAGCACTGTTAAACACACTGAACACATTAATTTATTCCATTATATTGATCAAATGTATAAATCAAGAATTTCCACACTGCAGCCCAATGTAATTATTCAAATATGAAAAATGAGGCCAAAATATAAAATGTGTCTTCCAAGGCATGACAAAGAGCAGCAGACAACATAAAAAGTCACATTACTAAGAATTTTTAGCAACATATGCTTTAGGTTTCTGATTCCCCAACGAAACTCTCAAAATCCTGTTGGATCTGTTCATCACATCTCATTCCACTCACGAGCACATTCTGCAAAACACCATTTTCCATCATCCTGTTGTTCCTCAATTTCCAGATATATATAACACATAAAATAATAGCTCTATAGTACCCATCCAGTATGAAATTTATTATCTACTCTCATGTACTTTGATTTCCAGTTATGTTAACAAAGTAGGTATTTTTTAATCGACCTCATTTTAGTCTCATATCAAGAAGACTTCATTAACAGGAGATCTAGAATATGTACCTTCCATTCGTACTGGATATTTACTTCATTATGTTCTTTGCAAGTACCACACTGCCTCTCTCAACAGCCCAACAAAACTAGGTTAATTGCATAATGTAACTAAATGTAGGTTAATTTGAAGTTTCCTTTACAAAACCTTTTCACCCCTTAAATGGGAGAGCATGTTCCCAGAGCTTTCTGACTGGGAGCATGACGAAGGTTCAATTGCTCCACGTGGCTCCACGTGCTGGGCAGAGTAGATGGGTACATGATAGCTACATGTGTGCACCCAACCCTCATCCAGAAGCCAGGAAAGAAAGTTGATCCCAGCTATAATCAGGACCTTGAGGGAGAGTCCCCACAGCCCCACATGCCGGTGGTGATGGGGCAGGTTGCCTCAGGCCCACATAGACTAGCAGAGCTGTAGGCAGGACCTTGCTGAAGAGACCTGCTTTAGATCCATCATTTTTGCCACATACCTCAGCTAGCCAGGCTGAAAAGCAATGTTTCTGCAGTGAGGTTTATTGGAAAAATAACACTTTAAAGTATGTCCTAGAAACAGCATTTACATGTTTTACAAATACTGTTGCACTGCTTGCAAGAAATATACATTCACATGACAGAGACAAGTAGCTGCTTTAAATGAAGAACCAAAAATACTGAACTGTTGACTGACATGAACTCTCCTCATATGTATCTTTTAGAAAAGTTTCCAAGCTACTTCCCACAGCAGATGAAAAAATCCACATTGAACAAAGTCTTTCATTCTCCTGAATAGACAACAGTCCAAGAAATACCAACGTACTTCTCTTCCTCTCTTTTCCTTTCACTGCTGTGCTTTCTCTCTACATCCATGGTGACTTGATTCTAACTTTATTACCCATTCAGTTTTTGGTTATTTCTTTTCTTGTTGTTTTAGAGGCTTTTTAAAAAAATATTTACCATCTTGATGCATCACTCTGGTTTCCTCCATACACACACTCCTCTAGACATGACTAGAAGATATATCCTCTTCTGACTTTCTGTTTTACACCAGAGGCATAATACCCACTCACCCACCACATTCTCAGAATTACGTGTTCATGTAGGAACAAACTGTTCCTGGTAGAGTGGGCTGTAAGGAAAAACCTCCTCTTTCTGCTGTGCATTTAACTAATGTAATTCTGTATCCCTCAATCTATACACACAGCTTCACTGTCTGGGAGAGATAAGCACTTTGCTACACCAGCCAGGAAGAACAGGCCATTACCCTGACCACTGCAACAGCTGCAGTAATTTTGGTGCCTCTACTTTTCCTTCCTCCTGCACTTTGTCCAGCTCCTCCAAGACCTCCCTCAACAGGTCTGCATTTTGGGTAACAACTCGGTGATTCCCTGGACTCCTACTGCCTTGCAATCTAAATCCAGCTGTATTTGCTCCACTTAAGCATGCCTTGGTACAGTTCTTGCTAATGCTGTTTAACCACTGCTGACCTACCGGTTGGAGCCTCCCACTGATATGCACAGTCATGCAAAGTGAGAAGTGGGTTGGTTTCTCTGCTAGGTAGGCAGACTGATGAGATCAGAATATCAATCAATTACTGAGCACAGCATTCAGCACCAGCAGATTATGAGGGATTAAATTTAGATGAGTTAATCTGGGAACTGAAGAAACACAAATTTCTCTAATGCTTTTTGGGAGGGCCTAAGAGTAACTGAGTTTTGTGGGTAGCAGGAGCTCAAGGTATTCAAGCTTAAGCAGAAGCTATGTCTGATCAGGGGATTTTAGCTATGGGCTGGAGCAGCAGACCCTGGAATACTTTAGTCTGGTGAAGACATTCGCTGCTTGGGCTAGGTAAGGGGTATGTGTTTAAAGCTGACTTCAATCTATGGCTGCACAGTCTTCCCTATCTAGTTGTTGTACCAATCAGTTGATGGATTAGTGCTAATGTCTATATTATGCATATCTAGTAAGTGTTTTCCTGATAAAGCAGCAGCTGAAGATATCCTTTTGATGCTAATTTGATTTCACAGACAGCACATTCTCCTCCCTAATTCCCAGCCCCTGTGTTGATTTCATAGCTCCAGATTTTGCATCGAAGACTTAAAGTATTAGCAGAACTAAATACAGATACTAGAGGTAGTAATATGACTTTCTGGGATTATGGAATGTAAACACAAAGTGTCTCAAATGAAAAGGCTAACCTTACACTACTTTTTTTAAAAAAAAAAACACAAAAAACAGGATTTTTTAAAATTCCTTGGTTGTTTGCAACAAATCTCCTTGGTTCTGCTGTCTTGCTATAGACTGTCATGAGAATCTTATAACAGAATTTTATAATTTCTTTCCTTTTTGTACAATAGATAGCAGAGTATGTCAAAGACATGTTCAAATAGTGCAGGGCCTGAGTCTAACCATCACTTGCACTTGCATAAAGGAGGGACATGTACCATGTAAACAAGCTCAGACCCACGGTTATGGAATTCATTTGTGTCAGGCCTGACCATTTCTAAGAAACTCAGTTGAAAGTGGGTAGCATGGACACCTCCAAAAAGTGCAAGAAACATTTCATAAGCTTATGACATATTCAAGTACACAGCTTCCCATCTTTAGAGCTATCCCTTGATTTTTAAATCCACTCACTGTTGTAGCCACTGCAGCTGCCAGTCTCTGCCGGCGTCGTGTTGTGCTGAACTGGCCCTTCGGTGCCGGCCCTTCCTGACAGTGAATGCAAGAAAAGAAGGAAGTAGAAAAAGAGAAGGGAAGGGGTGATGGGACAAAGGAAGATGAAAGGTGATCAGAAAAGGGAGAGGGAGAGTCTTTAAGTGGATTTCAATTTTGTTAACTGTTATGGCCTACACATTCTGAGGACATATCACATGTTTTCAGTTGTGTATGCCAGAGACATAAAAAAGCTAGATACTTCACTAAAATTATCTTCAGATGAGTTGGACTGCAGTGCACTCACTAAGACTACCAAAAAACCCAAACAATTCTATTAACGTTGCCATTCAGACTCATGAGGCAATTATGGAATAAGAAAACAAAAAGGATGCTGTGGCATGGCAGAAAACACAAAAACCAAACTCCTGCTGGGGGGTCACTTTACCATCTAGAAAATGAACTCTGAAAGAGATCACGTGGAAGTGCATGAACTGTGGTCATTGAAGATGTATGCATCTCAATGGTAAAACTTTTCAGTGTGTATGTTGTAGTGAGCTTGCTTATGTAAACATTCCTGTGCACAGCTATAGCATTTCCATGTCCATCCTTGAGATTATTTGTTCATTTCCTCCACACACCCCTTTTTTGAGTTCCAACTACTTCTCCTGTACATTAGTGAAGACTTGGCTCCCAAAGCAATGCAAAAACTCAGATAAAGCAGCACAAATGAAAACTAAGTATTCTAACAACTACTTCCTTTTCTGCATGTCTAACTTTGGCCTGCTCCTGCTTAATTTCACATTTATTTTGCTTTTAAGAAAATTCTTCATGGTACATTAAAGTCAAGCAAGTAATTGTTGAATGCAGAGGATATCATAAAGTCCTTCTATTTAAAATCTAATCAAAATGTTATTATTTTGAATCTACTTTAAGATTTTAGAAGACGAGAAAAGCCACCTTCCTGCTTTTAGAAAACAATTTTCAATCTCTTTACATTTTTCTTCTCCTGTATCTTCACCTATAGCCACTTAAGTATTTTTAAATCTATAAACATTTTTACTTTTTCTGAAAGCGGCCTGGGTGCCATATAAGTAACAATGGTATAGATTGGATACATGGACACCATGCTGAACAACAGGGTATTATAGTTCAATTATTAGCTGAAGTGTCTTGCTCCTGTAACATTCCCACTGGTAGGGTTGCTGCATCTGAAAATGGCCATACCTTCCACACTCTGGCTGATACTAGTGGTAGCACTACTGAGAATGGAAGAGTTGTCTAATGATTACAGTAAGAGAAGTCTTGCTTTGTAATATTTTGTAAAATTATCACATTAAAGCACATGTACATTACCCGTAAAATATAGAGTACAAATTTTGATAAAGCAGAGAATGCATCATATCCATAATGTAAAACTCTCTGTGCCCTACAGAAGTCTGTCTATCCTGTGCATAAGAGTTTGGAAGAATATTCTTGTTTAACTATTAGGGACATACATAAGCATATATTTATGTACAGAGAGAGAGAGACATACACTAATATCTATATATCTGCAAGATTAGGAAATCAGGTATACATTATTAAAATGAGAACACTGAGGACTGCATAACCACACACTCCCCTCAACACAATAGGAAGTGAGGTCATAATCTGAGTTATGATATAAAGAAATATTTATTTAAGGGGGAAGGTAATAGGCCAGTCTTTGGGTCTGGTTTCTTTTCGGAGCTGAAAGTCTCAGTAGAGCAAGCTGACTTCTCAGGTTGCTCCATACTATATAGTCCTCTATTAAACTACTACACCCTGGAGGAAAAACAAACAAACAGTCTTGGAACTTCACAACTCTGAGCTTTTGAGGGAAATTAAATCAATGTTAGTTCATTTTATTTGTTTTCAGTAATATTTTTTTCTCTTTTGAAGATCTACAGATTGCCATGAGAATGACAAAGCAGTCTTTTACCTAAAGGGAAAAAAAAAATCAAACACTCCAGTTTTTGTACAAAAGCATCATTTGTAAAATTAATTAATACAGGTCAACTAACCTGTTTTTGCAGGCCATTTTCATAAGACTTTAAATAGGCTTTTTAAAAACAAAATAAACCTCCTTCATAAAAGCAATCTTTCTTCAGAGAAGCAGTCCACATATTGCTTATAAGTAAAGGCCTGTAAATTAAGCTGTTAATTCTAAAAAATTTAGCAATACTATACCCCCAAACCTGTAAACGCATACACGCACACGAGGATCAATTTTATTTCAGGGAGTAACCCCACTCTACATGCTAGGATTATTTGTGTGAGCAAAGCTAACTGCATACAGAACTGGTATACCTAATTGGTAAATATACATTTCTAAGAAACAAAGCAAGCAGCTTTTCTTACAAGAAAAAAGTGTATTTTAAACACACTATACAACTAGCATTCATATTCCAGAATGTGTTAGCAGGAATACAAATAAAGCTACCTTATTAACAAAAAACTGGTAACAAGTACAACACAAAATCCAGATGAGAGAATTCTCTCCTTGCATCTTATGCAGCGGATGCTGAGCTAGCAAAAATTACACCCTTGTTCGCTATTACTCACAAACAGGACACTTATACAAAGAGTGCTCTAATTTTTATGGTCCTCAGAAGGATGGCTCTCAATATCATACTATCAGAGGAGCTTTTGATGGTAGTTAATGACTGCTCATTCTGAAATAAATAGGTGCAAGTACTTCAAATGGAATTAATAGTATGACTAGCTTAAAGCTAAGATGTTAGTATTAGCATTATTCCCTAAAACTAATGAGATATATGGAGGCATGGGGAAAGGAAAAGGACAAGAGAAGTCTTTTTTTAATATCAAATGTCAACCATTTCATAGTAAATCATGTGTAGGCACCATGAAGAAATGATCACAAATTAGACAAAGTGATTCTCAGTAGTGAATGCCCTGCTAAACAGTTTAGAAAGAGTTGGAGTAGTCTTGAAAAAATTACCTCTAAGGAAGGCCAATGAAGCTAGAAAGAATGCCTAAGAGCAGAGCACAATGGGACTGTAAGCTTAAAAAGCACCTAGGCATGGGAAGAAATCCACATTTTAGTGGAATGGCAACATTACGAATAACACAATGAGTCAGAGTGAGGCCATCTTCCACAGATCACAGCTTTATACCATTCATGGGACAAGACAGCCCTTGGAAGAATAGAAAATGTGTTGAGCCCATCAAACCAGGCAAGAGAACAGAGCAGCCAAAAAGGAGTCTTCATCTTCCATATAATTTAGAATAATTTCATTGTTTCTGTTTCAGTGCAAATTAATTTATAAATCAGTCATCAATAACTTAATGCTTTGTTCTAACAAAATAAGATTTACTTTTCCAGCACTAAGCTTGCCAGGAGCTAATGCTGACCCAGGTTAAGCAGAGTTCATTATCGACCCAGACGTGACAGACCCATGTAGAGCAGTGCTATGCACACAAACTCTCTCCGGGAAACCTGCAAACCGACTGTATTTGAGAACGCCTCCTGCCAAGCCACAAACAGCAGTTTGAGAGTCAAGTGCCAAAATGACAGAAGCCCAGACCAGCGTCACATTGGCAAAGTGCAGGCAACAAAGGAACAGCTAGTAATTCCTCATGACCCAACCTAGATACATTGACTGCTTTCATCATCTTTTCATCATTTTTGTGGAGAGGAACTTTTGTGAGACCACTGCGACATGAAAGAACATGCAGTGTTGCCTCTGTTTCTTCATAGACACCAAGTACTTGCATCCGTTTTCCTGTTATTTGCCTATGTTAGTCAGAAGCAGGGAAACACAGTGATCCTTCAAATGCAGGTAATAGGACTTGACATCAATCACCAAAATTCTTTTGTTAATAAACCTTTTTAAACCTAACAGATGCTTCATTCTTCAACCTATTTTATCTAGTATCAGAGGCAGAAAGAAAAATCACCTACAACAGCTGCAATGAGAAAGCTGATGCAACTACAATTTCTTCTTTCCTTAAGATTATTAATCTTAAATGACTCACAGAGAGCTCCTCACTGTGCCTCTGAGTCACAGAAAACTCCTTATTGTGCCTCCAGGGGACATATTAAAGGCTTTCAAAGTTTGCATGAATTTCAAGGAATTTAAATGGATCAAAAGTTGCTGACGTTTATTTATTCTGTAGTAGACAGCACAGTGATGATAGTTAGCTCCTAAATCAGATGAATATAGTCTTCATTATCAGTTGCTCAGTTATAAAAAATATGAGGTTTTGGATTAGGCCTCAAAACATACAGCTGCTTCTGACAAAACACAGTAAGACACTCTGGATCTAGCAGTAATGCAAGCACATTATGCTTATTTCTGTGCTATTACTTTTCAGCTCTAAGGCAGGATGGGGTAAACTCTTTCTTCATATAATTTATTCTTTGGTTTATTCAGTTTATTCCCATACTAGCTTTTTCCATAAGGCCTGTGAAAATACTTCTCATAGGTAACATTCCTAATATAGGTCTTGACAAAGACAACTGGTACGTTTGTATTTCATTCATGTTTTCTGCTTTTAGTTTGATCTCACCTGCTCAACTGCCCTTCTTGGCAAGTTTGTGATAGACCATCAGTATCTCTGTGTGCTGCATGCATATTGCCTTTTTGCACCCTAATTGACTAGTATCCAGATCTCTCTCCTTTCTCTAGATGACAATGTTTTCATATGAATGAAAGTAAAATCAATACTTTTCTCACTATCTTCTCTGGGTTTTAAACAACAATCTGAGATTTAATTTACTTCATCAGGAACATAAGAGACAGTACATTGACTTCCTACTTTCAGATTATGTATCATTTCATGCTTAAAAGTTAATCTAAAAGTACAGTGAAAAGGAAAATGTTGTGCATTCAGTACCTGAAGTTGAATTTTTGCATCTTTGCTGACACTTTTTGTTCTCCACCGTCTCGTGACCCGCTTGTCTTTCTTTGAAATATCTACACAGTTAGCCTACATTACACAAATAGTTAAAAGCAACAAAGTACTATTAAGTTGACACAAACAACACAGACAGTACAGCAAGTTAGTAAAGAATTGTAGCGTTAGACATCTGCAAATTAGAAAGTAAGGAGAAGGATGCCACTGCCAGGGGCCACAACTACAGCAGTGACCAGCTGTAGCTATCCATACATTTCTATAAACACATATGGCCTATTTAGCTCACTTAGCAAAACTACTGGTATACTTTCTTCACAAGTGCACAATATTTAGGACCAGATCTTGAAATCCTTATGGATTTCTATTCTGGTACTGGTCAAAAAAATGTAGTTTATTTCTTCCTTAAATCAATGGTAAGTCTTGCTACTTCATTGGAACCAGACTTCCAAATGCACCACCACCACTGGGAGATTTGTGTACTCAGGGGGTCTAAGTGAAAAAGAAGGAAAGTATTCAGGATTTAGGATCTGCTGTTGCTCTCTTGTGGTCAAGAGGAAAACTGACCTTGAACTGGGAAACAGTCCTGCCCTTGGGATCTTTGTACTATGCCCTATATTCTAGAGCATGCAACTTCATCTTTAAGGGTCTTTGGGTCTCCACTCCTTGAAAACTTAAAATGATACCTTACTCAGCACAAGAAAAACTCCTTAAACGCAATTTCAATGTATACAACTAATTTGATTTTAACAGTTCTCAGTTTCGCTTTGCAAATGTCTTAATCTTTTGATTCATCCTATTTAACTAAAGTAAGTGTCTTAATTGTTTCTGAATGTTACACATTATCAAGATGAAAACATTAGTCTTTCATCCAAAAGTTATTATGATTTCAGAAAATCGTTCTGAGTTAATAGACATCTCTATGTTTCTCTTAACACAAAAACTATACATTTCAGTGTGATGATTTATGTTTGAGCATACTTACCTGCATATCTGTGAAATTTGGTGCTGACTGAGTTCTCTGTAGTATTTCTAAATTTTGAAGAAGTTTACTGAGTTCCACAAGGTTTGACTGACAATGAGCAAGATCTAACAGATATAAACAAAAATACATTAAGTGCTTCAGTTCGGAATTTTTTTTTGCCATGATGTCTATCATTGGCACATTATTGCATTATAAAAGTTAAATGTCCAAGCCCCTTGTAGTAAGACATCTAAGTAAAAGCTTTATTTTTAGATATGTTGAGCACTTGTTATTTCTATGGGAGTCGGCAACAAGTCTGGACCTCAAAACGTGATCATATTTTAACAATGATGCCCATTAAGATAATATAAAGTATTAAGATAAAATTTTAAAAGCAGCATCCCAAAACATGCAGGGAGGGAAGTTCCCACCACAAGCATCTAATTACCTGAGAAGCTGCTTTATGTGCATGTAAAGATGCAATTTAACCAGCTTACTGACTGTTTCTTATTTTATATCAGCGGGAAGATTTGCTGAAAGAAAATGCCATTAAAACGTGGAGACTAACCTTCTGCACATCTGTCCATCTCTTCAGAGTCCTGCAACCAGGCTGCTACTTTACTCTGACCAGTAGTGCAGGTGGCAGGAAGGCTGTTACTGCAAGGTATAGGAGACTGCCAGGGAAAGCTATTTTGTTGCACCTAAGGAATAATAAAAGGCTTAAATTTACTGTTGCTAAGTTACTCAGTCAGTGTGATCACCATACTACTACAGAGTAAGAAAACAAAATATGCATTGTGATTTCACTATACAGTTCCCAAGATGCAGATTTTCTGAACAGCATGTTGGAGAACCAAACCAAGAACCTCACAAGCAAACCATCTAACCTCCAGCTAGATAAGCTGTTGTTTAAGAGGAAATACATTATCAAACAGTAGCACATTATCAAACAGTAAAGAGACAGATTTATCCCTGATGACGAAAGCAAGTGCAAATTGTTCTCAAGATGGTGAATTATTTGCAAGTTCTCTACAGCAACCCATTAATGAAGACTGCAGTAAGGCTAAATTAGACAGTCTTTCACCTGCACAGACTTACAGCTTTTTGCTGGCCGTTGGTTCCCAGAGTGGAAACTCCTCTCTATTGGCATTACAAGCACAGCCCACTGAAACTGCCCATGAGCAATCCCAGTGGGCACGAGCTTTCAACAAACCACATACCTTTCCATCCGACACATTAGCAGCTGGTGAAGACTCTGTTGTAGAGGCTGAAGGGAATATATGAAAGCTAGCATCTCTCGGAGATCTCACAATCTCATTCTGACGGTACAGCCGGTGGTGGCGTAGTTTTGAAACCCAAGCATCAAATGAATCTGGGGACTTCACCTGGAAACAAATTCACTATCAAGTAAGCATTCAAAATACTACTTATCTGCACATCTTTTTACAGTTTTATTTCCACTGTAGATAAAAAATAGAATAAGTATTTGCGCCATTCTTTACCTTCAGATGATAGATGTGCTCTTCTGTGTCAAGATCTATTCTACGAGCCTTCTTTTTTATAGACATAACTGATAAACCAACATCAATGCTCCCATGGACTTTGCCTTTCTGTATCTAAAATAAAAAAGCAGGGTAAGAAATTGGTAGTATCATGCACTTCTTCACTATATTTAACATAAAAATATCTGGTGCTGAAATGGTTTCCCATTTTATGAACATTTTAATATAAAGCCATATTAAAAATAAAGCCTGTAGTCACATTAAACACAATATTTATAGACAGAGAAAAATATCTCACAAGAAGTTCTCAGTGCAGAGCCAACTCCAAAGCTAAAGCATGTTGGTTCACACCAGTACACAGCTACAGGTGAGTGAGCACCACTGAAAATCAGACAGTGCTCACCTCCCTGCTGCTACCACTTGATAGTTATTGGTACCAGATTTAACTAATTTCATGCTGCCCTTTATATCTCAAGTACATTGTAATCTCTTCTCTGTCCTATTCATATATCTAGCAATAATCAGCTCTGACATAAAAATTTAGAAAGAAAAATACACAGTCGGACTAATCTCTCAAGCACTTCCATTGAATAAACTACTTTAAGTAATGTAGGTTTTATTTTCCTAAAAGGAAGAAAAGGTAGAATTTTTGAGGACAGGATTCAACCAAAACCTTGCATGCTTTCCACATACAGATCTTCCTTTGAATCCATCAACAACTTTCATGTGTGCACTGTCATAAATATGCCTAGTGTAAGTATAAGATTTAATCACCCTGGCAGGCTGAATTCCAATACAAGTTCTAAAACGGCCTTCAACTTTACTTACATCAATTGGTGACTTTGAATATTTCAACATTCCATTATCCAGGACAAAAAACCTCTGAAAGAAAAAATAAAATTCTTTCTTATGAGCAGATGCAATTTAAACTATGCACAATAATTCACCTGCAAAAGAAAATTATTATGCTGTAGCAATTAAAGAAAGTCTGTGGGTTGGAAACAGAGGGTAAATACAGTATTGAATAATTTTCTTGCTTGTTTTTCTGAACAACAATTAGAGTCTAAGCAAGAAAAACTAGATTCTCTTTTTTCAACATTATGTTCTAGGTTTAACTTAACAAGTCTCAATAATGAAGGATTTTTTTTTTTCAGTTTTCCAGCCAATTCAATAAACTCTATAAGAAAGACACTGTAAGCCGAAAAAGTTATGCCTTATCTAGCTAGTACAAGTATTAGTACAAGTATAAATACTACAGCATTCCCAGCAACTTACCCAGGTTATAGGAGGGCTTCTGTTTTGGGTGTTAATTCATTGATACGGTGTGAGCCACTGTATCTTCACTGACAGAGTTACCAGGGTTAGGCTAACATGATGATGCCTATCTGTGCCATTGCTGCACCTTTATTTTGCTATGTAGCTCTTGCTTACAGCAGAACAGAACTCCCTATTCATAACATATTTCTTCTGCAATTAAAGTTGCCCTAGCTTGTGTGTACCAGAACACTCAAGCTGCATTGCTGACAAGTTAGCATAGACTTTTGGCACACAGCCTAGCAGGAAACCTAGACTTTAAATTAGATTCACCAACTTGTGTTTACCATCACTAACTTTCAAACGATGCTAATTAATAGAAACTAATTCATATTTTTAGTCTAGCCTAAAGCACTAATCTATGTTTAAAATCTATAACACAGCAAAATATTATCCTTAAGTCTCTAAGCTGTTTGACATGGAAGGACGATATTTTCATTATATGAACCTGTTAAATTGACACTATGAGCACGGTCAGCAGTTGGATGGCAGAAAATATCTCCTGAAAATGGTTCTGAAAATCATGTCAGCTGCACAACAGGTGCTACCAATATCTCACACAGGGCGAGAAAACAGTGCCTTCCTGGAGACTTAACTTCTTGAATAAGATGTCAAAATAACAGGAGGACTTTTGGTTCTGATTTTTTTTAACTAGCTACGGTAATTAATGGACTTCACAAGAGGATGACATTCATTACGTATCGCTCTGCCTCTCCAAGGTCTGCACACAAAAGAAAATCACTTTTCCTCATGTTTTGTGCCACAGCATACCACACTTCAGGAAATGATACTCTGCTCTCCAAGTTGTACACATTATACCCGGTACGCTACTAAACTGCATTCAGAACTGTCAGGATCTGACACGTAACATTCAATAGGCAGAGGATGCTGTGGCTTTGCTAGCAGAACGCTAACACAGCACATGCTACAGTTAATGTCTCCGGAAGTCCTCACTGTGCTCTCAGCACAAAGATTGTTTTGGAAACTGCAGGATATCAAGGCAGCAGTTGGGAAAAAAAAGAAACTTATTAACAAATCTACAGTATCTAAACTTAAGTTTAGCATAGATCCTTAGGTGGAATGTAAGGCAGAGTAGAGGGGGATGCTGAACTGTGAAGCTCTTAATCACATTAAAAATTACTTACACAGGTAACTGCTCTAAAGACAGAACGACAAACAGATCATCAGTAATTATATCCTTTATAGAACTGTGAAAGTTGAACTCCCCTTGCTCTCTATAAAGTTCCTTATCAGAACAGTCAGTTGTCCAAGAAACAACACAATAACAATGTATTTTAAAGGAGTGGAAGCAATGGGCTATATCATATATTCTTATTTATCTGATTAATTTTGGGGTATTTTGGGGGGGGATGGGGGGGGTTTGTTGGGGTTTTGTTTGTTTGGAGGGGTTGGTGTGTATGTTTGTTTGGTGGTTGTTGTGTTTCTTTTATATAAGATTTCATTTTCCGTTTTTTTCAGTGTTTCAGGTATGTCAGTTTGAAATCCTTTAATCCACCTGGACTAAATTCATGTATTTAGTTGCTGAAACTACAAACCTTAGTTAAATAAAACAAAACCAAAAACCTAAGGTAGATAGGCACGCGCAAAAAAAGGGTGGCAGGCATATGTATGAGTATCACATTAAGAAAGAATAGAGAAATCAGAAAAAGGTGTAATTTATAATAGTATAGACTGCATTTGGATCAGACCTGAGTAAGTCCCACAAGGTTTAGCAAAAAAAAGAAAGCTAATGCTTTTCCAGAAAACCAACCAAATATAACAAATGGTTTCACTATCCTTTGCAGTAAAACGCATTCTGTCCTAGAAAATTATCCTGCTTCAAGTACTCTCAGCTACAAAAAGACAGATGAGCATCAACAGCACACATCTTGTAGCTAAAACAGGGAATAAAAATGTAATTATTATGGTATAAAATACATACAAAAGAGTTTATGAAAACCAGGCTTAGGGCTAACAAAATGTAGAATTATGCATGGAGAGATATCTCCTAAATAACTAAACAGAAACAGGAGATTTGGGGTTGAGTTTTGGAGTGGGTTTTTCAGTTGTTGAGGATTTTTGTTTGATTTTTTTTTTTAATTGAGACATCTAATGGCAAAAGTGCATAGTCCCACTGCATGACCACACAGAAGATTGCAATCAAGAAGATAAAACAAAATTCAGGGACAAAGCTGAGCAAATCTGCCCAGTCAGCACGCCTGAAGGGGAATGCTCTCACATATGAACAGGTCCATGCAAAAGCCCTTCAGCTCTCCTTTGCCATCACGAAGTCCTGTGTACTTTAATGTAAACTCACTGAAATCTTACAGGACATGGCTACATTTTGTTATAATATATTGGAAAGAATGGAAGAGATATTGATTAAGCGTCTTAAACCACATAGCATCTGCTGCATTATTTACAACTTCCGCCTGCATTTTGAATAAAACATTAAGCAGCAGGCACTGCAATTTGGAAGCCATGAGCTGTGTGTGCAAACTCACTCTTTACACAATTTAAAGAAAAAGTCATGCACCAAAATCTTGGGCATTTATTTGACATCCTAATTTCCTCTAAACAGAAACGTTGCAGCTTATAAAATAAGTCAATAATATTTTGACTGTTTTATGAGACATTTACCTTGTGCCAACCTTTTAAAGGCCATTTCCTCTTTTTCAGCATGAAACCTTCATGTTTGTCTGGCTTCTGGACATTGGTCTGGCCTATTTTCAGACCCTCTATGATTTCCCAGCTGTCAGGTTCCTGTCGAAAAATTATGAAGACACATTGATTAATTAACTGTGCACACACGTGATGAAAAAATTGCACTTACAAGTAGCACAAATTCTCCAGTGTAAGACAAAGAGTAAAGGAGGGCTAGGCTTTTAAATGAGCCTATTTAGCTACCAAACTGCATAGTCACTGTATTATTTCTGGCTGTATCTCACTTAAAACTACTGAATATGTATATTTTTGAAAATCTAACCCTTACCAGGTAACTAAAAGGAAGTTGAAGCTTTTAAAAAAGTCTGGCACCGTAACTCTGTAACTGAACAACAAGCTGAGGGTGGGTCTAGACATGCTGTTCACAACAAGCATTGTGTCCCAATGAAATAAATACATCCAAATACCAGAAAACAGGATCAAACTGTGGCTGAGCTAAGTATAAGAAAGCTCAGACCTACTAGTGGAGCTAATGGTGTGAAAGTGCAGGTGACTCTGATCACCTGTTAAGTCTATCAAGAAGACAACCCACAAATTAGCACTGCACTGTAACAACTAAAAGGACTGAGGAGATTTTGCAAGCAGGCTATGGGCAGAATCTGCATGTTATAAATGTACCTTTATTCAAAGTATTTCTTCTTTAAAAGAAGATGGGATCATGAGATGAAATGAGGATGAAACCATACAGTTAAATAGATGGGTGCATATTAACAGTGCCCTTTGTGGTATTCACTGATCATAAAAAATTGTAAATTTTCTGATCTTTGACGTAAAAGCTACATTGATTCTGGATAGTCTAATTTTTCCTTAAAACCAGAAAAACAAGCAGAAGAGGTTGGTTTGTTGCTGGTTTTGAATGCAGCCAGCTCTTGTCTTCAAAGGTATTCTATGACAAGCCTAATTGCACCTTTAGATAGCTGCAAAAGGAAATTAATCTTTTTAAAAAGTTTTCCTGCATTTATTTTCACTGTATTAAGAGAAATATATAGGAAAGCTAACTAATTTTCTCTCTAGAGAAAATAATAGGAACTGTATCGTTTCAGATACAACCAGCTGCAGGCCTTCCAGGGAGCCAATTAAAGTGTATTTCTTGTACGTACCACTTGTAATGCATGACAACTTTTACAACTCAAGCCAGACTTATACCATACCATAGTGAACAGCTAAAGAACAATATTTTTAAAGAGAAAAAAGAGTCATGCTTTTCTTTCTGTCCTCTTGCTACTATTCTAATAAACAAAATTCTGTACCAATTTAAAAATCTCCTATTCCCTGCTCATAAGACTCTAACAACTGTATCAGTCTTTCATAACACTTCCAAGTATGTTACAAAGCCCTGATAACATTAACATTACTATTAAGGAAATATTATTTCAAAAGTAACAGCAAATTTCAAAGCTACAATTTTCAATAAGGTTTTGTTATTTTGAGAAAGCTGAAAAGCTCTATCCCAAATAACACATACCACAGTAAATTTTAATAGAAATGTTTACTCAGTTTAGTTTTCCCTGCATAAACTATAAACTGGAGCTATCATAGCACCTTTAAAAGCCATGCTCAAAATACCTTTTTTTTAACTTCCCTGCGTTTTGCTAGGATAGTCTATTTCCACTACTGTAGAAGGAAGTACGTATGAATTACTTTTACC